GCCTTCTTTGTTTACTGACAAATAATAAATATTCCTTCATACTTTTATTTCCAAGTTGTGCTTCCTGGCTTTGAGCTTACCAAGAGGGAAAACCCTTACATTCAGTCAAGGAATTAAAATGAAAAGATTAGCTAACTGCACATTGCAGTAAGAAATTTAGTAAAATGTCTCTAAGAAATAAATAGGAAATATTAAAAAAGAAGAAATACAAGTTCTGAGAAACAAGCCTACATATTTGATATAATAGATACATAAAATATCCTAGGTCCAAGAAATAAAGCAAACGTGTCATTAAAATCATTACAACAATTATCAAAACTGATTATATTCAAAACAATAAAACTTATATTTTCAGAGCCAATACTACATGAATTCTTTCCTTATCACAGTGATAATAAATTTAACATTAACAATGAAAGCAATAAAAATTGACATTTTAAAACTAAAAGGTACATACATGTAATTTGTCTTTAATGATGAAACACTGATAGTTCTAAATAACAAATTTGAAATGTATTGTTTAAATAGTAAAATATATAAATTCATAGTACAAATAATATTTATTAAAAGAAGGGGCTGAAGAGATGGCTTAGTGGCTAAAAGCACTTGCTGCTCTTTCAAAGGACCCAGGTTCATTTCCCAGCACCCACATGGCTGCTCACAACCGTCTGTAACTCCAGTTCCAGGGTATCTGACACCTTCACACAGACATACATTCAGGCATAACACCAATAAACATAAAACAGAAATAAATTATTAAAAGAAAACTTAAATACTCAACTCAGAGGTTACAATGGCCACAGGACATTGTTTATATAAGAGCAAAGGTTATTTTTAAAGTTTAAGATAATTAAAGTAAAAACATGGTCCCTTTTTATATTAGAAGAGCCAGTATAACAGATGACATTATATTAAGAAGGAGATGAGAACATATATACAAATTAGGAACAAAAAATTAAAGAAAATGCAGTGGTTTTTAAAATGAAAATATAATGCTATGAATAAAGTATATTTCAATAAAATTTAAAAGATAGGAGATGGCTTAAACTTAATTATGTAAAAATAGAAAATTGAATAATAAATATTCAGAAAAATGACTTTATCATAAATATTTTCTAAGAAATTCCAATACATTTCACCAATCTTCTAGTAACAACATATTGTCTTGTTATATAAAAGGTATTGAGATGAGAAAAAAATAAAATGACCCAAGACTCACTTTATGAAGGAATTGATTGAACACATCTCAGTAAAGTGCCTAAACACAAAACTATAACTGCAGTAAATCAGATTGGTGATAGTAGGGAGAAAATGTCGTTCATGAGTTTTTACGTTAGTGAATGAATTAGACAATAAACAATGTATGGGTACAGCTGACTGCTACCTTCAGATATGCACCTAAGCAAGGGTGCAGCATAGGCTCTCATCACCAGGCATTCTAAAGTGACCACGGTTACATTTTCCCTACTAAATATAATTAAATTATTACATCCTTAGTAGGTTAATGAATATATATATAGTAAAATAACTAATATGGGAATATATATATATATATATATATATATATATATCCTCTTCATTTTTTATATAAGAAAAAGAAACAGATAAAATAATCAGAGAAGTATTTAAGCCACAAAGAAAGCCATCATTAGTTGTCTCTGCTATAGTCCATGAAGTTATAAACCAGGATCAGCTCTTCTGTAGTTCAAGGACAGAAAACAGTAACAAAGATAGCTCTGGGGGAATCTTAACATTTTTTCTTCTCTGGGATCAAAAAACAGAAATTAAAGAAGAGAAATTGTTTCTTGGTGGAAATATTCATTCTTTGTTTGTGCCCAGTCAAATTTACAGCATAATATTTAACAAGTCCCCTTGGGATAGTTTATCCACTTTCTTGACTCTTGAACATGTTCCCCACAGCTGCTGTTGGTCTTATTATCTGATCTTATTTTATGAATTATATTCCTTGTGGAGCCTTGAGTACACACACACACACACACAGACACACACACACACACACACACACACACACACACACACACACACACACACACACACTCCTGTATAAATGAGCATTAGTTTGTGAGCATGGAAATGGTTCCAACTTCCCATTAAATGCTATTTAATCTATTTGGATGTCAGTATGTAGGGATGTTTTGAAGATCTTGAAATTACAATGAATCAAGTGATTGCACTACACTGAAGGCACCCTGACATATATGCCATCATACTGATTTTTGGGTGTGTGACTATGGACCACAGTGAGTGAGGACATCAGTGTTCTTGCATCTTGTCTTAAACTTTTCTTCATGGAAAACCAGAGTTAAGAAGAGTAGCAGCCCCTTTTCAATGAAAGGCCCACGGTCCAGTGTGTGAGGGTGTCTTCTACTCTTTCCAAGTTTTTCGGCATATATTAGGAGCTGACTGAGCTAACGGAAAAATACAGTCGTTTCATTTGAGAGACACTCCATCTCTGAGGATCTGCTGGGAAGAAAAGAATTCCACACTATCAGCTACTAGTTTCCCTCAGTCTATGTCCAACGTGTCTTCCCATGCTCATTTGTAAGTTTCAGAGAAGTTTCTTGTATAATCTAAACTTTATTTATTATGCAATTTTAGATAGAATGAAATTCACAAGTGAGAAGGTAACTGTTACTGTCTATTCTTTCTAAATTCTTGCTATTAATAGACTTAGCTACCAAGACAATCTAAAAGCTGCCAACTCTTTAGATACCTAATGTGGGTAATTTTCTTCCATGCTGTTGCATTTCTTATTAAAATTGTTAGCAAGATTAGCTCTTTGAGAGATTTGCTCATAAAGATTTCCATTTCCTCATGAAATTGCTGAATAATGGGCTAATGACACAGAACAAAGGTACCCTGGGGGATATATTTTTGAATGTGAAACTCCTTTTTCTGAGGGGGAAGCAGCAGGAGAATTATTGTGTGTGTGTATCTTTCAACAAGAAAGTTATCTGTGCCAGGGAGGTAAGCTGTCTCCTACACCTGCAACCACAGCATGCAGCAGAATACAGTGCTTGCTCAGCAAATGTCTATGGCTTTTACAGTTTGTGATTTTGCCAATAATTATATTAGTGCTCACAGGTTGTTCTTTTTCATTTGACTCTGCATTCATCATATGAAAATTTTAAAACATCTTGTAATGAAGATAACTTACTAACATATTCCAAACCTTTGTCAAAATTGTTTTAAACATGAAAATAATATTTTATCTTCATTGCTTCCAAATACTAAATACTGTATTGAAATAAATAACCACTTCTCCATACATTGGATTAACTGAATCCTGTAGTTGAATTATTTCATCCTCCCCAATGATTCAGGAATCAGTCTTGAATAAATGGTCAATGAATCTGTTATGTAAAAAACCAACTGGAATGAATTTTAATACTAATAGAACAATCACCTTTGCAGGAGATGATTCCAGTAGTCACAAATATATTTCATAAACTAAGATGATATTGTCTGTCAATAACTTCTTGTATTTGACCCGCAGTAAAACAAAAGATTATTCACTCAGGCTTATGAAACCTTTCAAATATTAAAATGTAACAGACATATTGAGAAGAAGTAAGTTGTGAAATTTTCTGACGTTTTGCTTTAAAGGGGAAAATTTACATGAATTCTGGAGTAAAGAACAAGAAAGCCACAGCAATGGTTTAAAAGTTGCAGTTCATGGCTTAGAAAACCCTCTCTCTGTTGGAAGGAAGGATTTGAAACAGCTAAACAGACACAAAAGAAAATACCACTGGGATGACAAAACAATTCATTTCCATTGTCCTTGAGGTACCCAGCAGATTCTTTTGAGTGTGTGCTACACAGATGTTCCTTAAGCAGGATGGAGGGGAGATGACAGATTTTCTGAGTGTGGGCTGGAGGTGTGTGTGTGTGTAGAAAACGAAGCATGGACGGTAACAGGAGCAAAAGATAACTCTGTTCTAACCCTGTGACCATCTGTGGGGACAAAACTGAAAAGACAGTGGTCCCTAGCATAAACTCAGCTAGAGTTATAACAAACTTCCAATCTCTGTCATTCAAGTTCATATTGGGAAGTCATTGTTTGTGTCTTATTAGTACTGAAATGCAGGCCAGTGAGGGTCAAATTCACAACATATTTAGTATTTGTAAGAAAATTTAATGCTTCTATCATGGACATACTCACTCCTCACCCCCATTCCACATGAAAATGACCTTACACAGCACACATGTACACGCCTGTCTGTGGCAACTGAACCACATATCCACCTCCATGATGGGAACTCATGAACATGTTTTGATGAAAATTGCTTTGAACATGAAAGTAACATTTGCTGAAAAATGTAGTATGATAACAGCATTTAGCTTACAAATGCACGTTTCCTTCTGATTCATTTGGAAAATACAAAAATTTTTAGTTAGTGGTGAGCAGGTCAAGAATATCATGGTGGATTTTCTCTCTTTTTTACTTTTAACTTTCTATTTTTATTTATTTGTTTTTGCTTTTATATTCTGAGCAATGTTTCCCCTCCCTCCTCTCCTCCTAGTCCTTTTCCCCAACTTCCTCTCTTCCCCCTCCCACCCACTCCTCCTCCTCTGTTTCTCTTCAGAAAAGGGTGGGTCTTCCATGGATATCAACCAGCCATGGTGTATCAAGTTGCAGTGACAGTAGGCACCTCGTCTTCTATTAAGGCTGGGTGAGGCAATCTAGGAAGAGGGAAGGGCCCCCAAAGCAGGCAACAGACTCAGAGACAACCCATGCTCCCATTGTTAGGAATCACACAAGAAAGCCACGTTTACAAAACTGTAACCATATGCAGAGTGCTCGTCCAGGTCAGTCCCAGCAGCATCCGTGGGTGTTGGCTCAGTCTCTGTGAGCCTCTATGAGCCCAGGTCAGTTAAAAACCACTCAGCACGATATGCACAGGTGCATTGTTTAAGTTACTACCTTGAACATTCACACGGCTAAACTTGGTGAGGTTCCTTGTCTCCTTCACAGGGAAATGGGAAATCACACCTCGGTTACACAGTTCATCCTCCTGGGATTTCCTCTCGGCCCAAGGATGCAGATGCTCCTCTTCACCCTCTTCTCCCTATTCTATGCCTTCACTCTCCTGGGGAACGGGACCATCGTGGGGCTCATCTGCCTGGACTCCAGACTCCACACTCCCATGTATTTCTTCCTGTCCCACCTTGCCATCGTTGACATTGCCTATGCCTGCAACACCGTGCCCCAGATGCTGGTGAACCTTCTAGATCCAGCCAAACCCATCTCCTTTGCTGGCTGCATGACACAGACCTTTCTCTTCTTGACATTTGCTATCACAGAATGCCTCCTCCTCGTGGTGATGTCCTATGATCGGTACGTGGCCATCTGCCACCCGCTCCGATACTCTGCCATCATGAGCTGGAGAGTTTGTATTACCCTGGTGGCGACTTCCTGGATTTTAGGAGTCCTCTTGGCCCTGGTCCATCTAGTATTACTATTACCATTGGCCTTCTGTGGATCTCAAAGAGTCAATCACTTTTTCTGTGAAATTATAGCTGTCCTCAAACTTGCCTGTTCAGACACTCACATCAATGAGGTCATGGTTTTGGCTGGCGCCGTATCTGTGCTTGTAGGACCATTTTCTTCAATTGTGGTCTCTTATGCTCATATTCTATGTGCCATCTTGAAGATCCAGTCACGCCAGGGGCGCCAGAAAGCCTTCTCCACCTGCTCCTCCCATCTCTGTGTCGTTGGACTCTTTTATGGTACAGCCATTGCCATGTACATTGGGCCTCAACATGGGAACCCTGATGAACAGAAGAAATATCTCTTGCTATTCCACAGCCTTTTTAATCCTATGCTCAACCCACTTATCTATAGTTTGAGGAACAGAGATGTCAAAAGTGCTCTGAAGAGGATGTTCAGAAAGGAGGATACCTCTCAAGAGCCTTAAAGAGAGAATAAAGACCTTGCAAAGATCTTCGAATTACTTTCATTCAATATTGAGGACACGTAAATGTGTTCAAAGGTTTCCTTTCCATTTTCTTACAAGAGCCTTCTCCCACCCTCCAAAAATCTCTGTGTATTTCTTCTTCCATTTCTTTAAGTGATTTTTCATTTCCTCTTTAAGGGCCTCTATCGTGTTCATAAAGCTGTTTTCAGGGTGGTTTTCTTCTGCTTCATCTGCATTGGGATGTTCGGGTCTTGCTGTATAGAACCCCTAGACTCTGGTGGTGTCATATTGCTCTTTCTGTTGTTGAGTGTGTTCTTACACTGTCGTCTTCCCATCTCTTCTTCCAGTGGGTGCAGGTGAGGCCTCTCCTGGTGGGTGCAGGGTCTAGGTTCTGATGACGGCAGCTGCAGTGCTGGGTGGTTTAGGCTGCTGCCAGGTCTCTCTTGTTTTATCTTCTCTAGCTTTGCAAATTGGAGGAGCAAAAGTAACCCAAGCATACAACTGGCTTTTTAATGTGGCTAAAAGCAACCGTCAGTCTCACCTAGCTCCCAAACATGTGAGCTACTGTAGCAACCAGCCTGAGAGATAATACCCACTGGAACAAGAGTGGTACAAACACTGCTTCAGTCCTGGCAAGAGTCAGTGCTGCATAGAGTCTACTTAAAGATGAATGCATGAAAACAGAGGGGGATGGGAGTGAAGGGTAGACAAGAAAGCAAACTGGGTGCTATTTGGTGGCCAAATAGCTACACAGAATTAACAGAGGGGAGGGTTTTTATTTCACTGAAAACGCAGTGAAAGATCACAGGCCCATAACTCATGTGAGCAATTCTCCAGATGAGGTGTAAAACATTTCACCACACCCTCTCCCAACCAGTGGGCCTTGCCTTTTCTCACAAAATGAGAAACAATGACTTTGACTTCTGGTAGCTACTTTTAACGTGCTCTTTCTTGGACTTGACAAAAATGGAAAATAGTCCCTCAAAGTGTTCATTTTTTTAATATGTCTTCCCTCCATCATTGTTGTTTGTCAGATTTGTTCATAGTAAGTAGAGGCATAGTTTTTTCATCTCCATTGTGTTCTACGAACATATCACAACATATTGACTCTGTTTGGGGGAGATATTGGAACTGTCTACAATGTAAGCTGTAAAACATCGTTGTTTTGTGAATGTTCCACACATCTTTCAGAAGGCATCTGCTCTCACTGGTTGTGCATATACAGCTAAGGATGTATATGCACACTTGGATCTTCTTTGCTATGAATACCGGGCTGTCCAGCTATGAAATTATCATTAACTCATGAGTGAAAATAGGCTGGCACTGAGTGGGAATTGGTAATGCAAAGATGAGCTGAATACTGCTTCTTCTATTGGGCTGGTTTCGCAGTCTAAGTCTAATAAGGGTGCTGATTTTGTGTTAATGCTCATAGATATATTCTTCTCTCATTAGCCCATCTCACTTGCTTCTGAGGAGACAAACAAGAATAAGGCAGGTATTTGTTCCTTCATGATTGATTTTTTTAAAGATTTTATTTATTTATTATGTATACAACATTCTGCTTCCATGTATATCTGCACACCAGAAGAGGGCACCATATCTCATAACCATATCTCATATCTCATATCACCATATCTCATGAGCCACCATATGGTTGCTGGGAATTGAACTCATGACCTCTGGAAGAGCAGTCGATGCTCTTAACCTCTAAACCATCTCTCCAGCCCCTTCATGATTGATTTTTATCTTCTTAATGAACAACAACAAAAATCTGGGGTGCCAGGAAAAATGAAGTTTACATTATGAAATTGTATATGGGAGTAAAGGGGAATTTAAACATTTGGGCTGACAATCTTTTAACCTTAATTGACAATATCTTAGCCTTGTTTGATATTATAAGCCTGGAGAATCAACCTGAACCTTGTATGTGTCAGGCAAACACTCTACCAGTGAGGTATGCCTGTAGATACAAGCCTCTTTACAGTCTAACTTGCTTCTGATACCTGTATTGATTTCCCTAGAAGGTATATTTGATTTGGGTGAGGGTTAGGCATTTTATGCTAACTTTGATATCTCTGAACCTATTCTAGGACCTATCTAGTCCTCTACCTTGGAACACGCAGCTCTCAAAGCATATTCTTTGATAATATTTGTCAATATCAATTGCTCCTTTGTTGTCAGCCCCACCAAAACCCTAAGTTGATGCGGTGAACCTCTGGTCTCATGGACAAGGCTCTTTTTTTCTTCTATTTTTTAACATAAATTAGAAACAAGCTTGTTTTACATGTCAATCCCAGTTCCCTCCCTCTCCTCTCCTCACTTGCCCCCCACTAACCTCCTATCCCATCCCTGTTCTGCTCCCCAGGGAGGGTGAGGCCTTCCACGGGGGAATCTTCAAAGTCTGTCATATAATTGGGAGCAGGGCCTAGGCCCTCCCCTCTGTGTCTGTAGGCTGAGAGAGTATCCCTCTATGTGCAATGGGCTGGCAAAGTCTATTCTCTGCAACTAGATTCCAGGAGTTCAACTGGGTGTTTAGCTGTGGGTGTCTGCTTCTGCTTCCATCAGCTACTGGATGAAGGCTCTAGGATGGCATGTAAGGTAGTCATCAATCTCATTATCAGAGAAGGGCATTTAAGGTAGCCTCTCCAATATTGCTTATATTGTTAGTTGGGGTCATCCTTGTAGATTTCTGGGCATTTTCCTATGCCAGATTTCTCTTTAAACCTATAATGGCTCCCTCTATTATGGTATCTCTTTTATTGCTCTCCTGTATTCTTCCCCTGACTCAACCTTCCTGCCCACTCATGTCCTCCTCACCACTCTTCTTCTCCCCTTCTCATTCTCCTACCTCCCTCTCCCCTCCCACCGTGCTCAAATTTACTCACGATATCTTGTCTCCAGGTGACAATGTATGTCTCTTTTAGGATCCTCCTTGTTTCCTAGCTTCTCTGACAGTGTGGATTGCAGGCTGGTAATCCTTTGTCATTTTGTGACTGGGTTGCCTCACTTGGAATGATTTCTTCCAGTTACAACCATTTTCCTGCAACTTTCAAGATTCCATTGTTTTTTTTCCACTGAGTA